TGATAGTCTAATGTGCATATATGCATGTGCTTTTACGACAGGCGGCAAAAGTGCCTGTAAAAGAATATGAATTTGATCATAAGAAGGTGGCCAATGTGCAGTCACTCCTGGTAAATCTGTGACAGCTGCTTGTATTATTTATTTATTTATTATTTAGACAACTCAGTATGTTTCTTATAGCTTATGAGGACCTTGGTGTTTAAAGAATGCAACAATTTATTTCAGGAAAAATTGGTCGCAAACAACTATTACTTGAACCAGTCAGCTAAAGAGGCATATAGGTCCTATATACTAGCATATAATTCTCATTCCATGAAGGAAATATTCAATGTTCACCGACTTGATCTACAGGTATGTGATCTTGCTTCCTTTTCCAGTGTTGTGGTGGATACATTCTCATAGACATGTAATATTTAAGAAATAAGATAACAGATGACTCTAGTTATAAACTATAAAGACTTTCATTTCAGTACAATACCTTTTTAAATAAGGTAATATGGTTTCATCAATTAGGATACAGAGAGATGAAAGAAAGACATGGTTATTCTGGTGTGTATGACGTATTTATGTCCGCTCATAACGCGCATGTAAACAGTGAAGTTAGGCTAAAAGTCAAAAAGTTGTGAAGTTAGGCCCCTTATAAGCACAATGCTTGTACAGCAAAGAGATATGAATCTTGAAATTGTGGCGTAAGCAAAAATTTTGGACAGAATATGCAGAAAGAGGACAGAATATACAGAGAGGATCACATATGCTTTGCAGTAAAGAATAATAACATGGAGAATATTTACAAACTCTCTAGCTAGACTTTGATGGTAAAGGTAGGGTGGACCTGTCGCTCTAGGGATTGATTAATCAACTGTTTTATGGTTTCATACAACAGGTTATATTTTCCTGATTGAATAATTGAAACTACTGACATTTACGCCCTCCGTTCCAATTTATGTGAACCTATTTGACTTGGCACGGAGTTTAAGAAAAAGTAAAGATTTTTGCAATTTGTGGTCCTAAACAAGGCAAAAAGGGCCCCAGAGTATTTGTGTGGTTATAAAAGTTTCTCATTAAGGGTATAATTGTAAGTTAAAGCTAAATTGTTACCAAATTTAGAAATGGGTCATTCTTTTTGGAACGGACCAAAAAGGAAATAGGTTCACATAAACTGGAACAGATGAAGTAATACTCAGTGGCGTACACAAGATTTTGTATAAGCGGTGTCACACTTAAGAAAGTAAACAAATTTATAACATCAAACTCGGCGGATAAACTGTCTTACATGCACTCGGAGAAACATATGGTGTGTAAAACATTTAGAATACTATTAAAAAAATATTTAAATTCTTTTTCATATGGTATGTAAAACATTTAGAATACTACTAAAAAAAATTAAATTCTTTTTCTTGATTTTAAATATTTTTCCTTAATAATGAAGTTTCCTTAATTATAAAAAGGAAACAAATATCTGGTCGAATCACATAGTATCATTTGCTTACTTAGTGACGAAAAAGTAAGAAAAGTTATTAGAATTAATGCAGACTCGAACCCGCGACATGCACTAAGCTAATGAACTATGCTGCCACTGGGCTGGAGAACCTCACTTTTACAAGTGGTGTCACTGTAATAATATTTAAGCTTCTATATCGTTTTTAATTTTTCATTTAAGATATATTTAGTGAATTTTTTTTTACGAAGCGGTGTCACGTGACTCCGCTTGTAACCATGTGGATCCGCCCCTGGTAATACTAATACATATCCAAAGTATGGTTTCTCTAAGCCATATGAAAACCATAACTATTTTTTATCTGTGCTCATCCCTGGGAGGAGTATTTTGTCATACTTATTTGCTTGAGCCAATAATCTTGTTACTGTTGGACCTGGCTGAAGTTATATTTGCATTTTCTTTGAATTAGGGTATTTATGTTACATGTATAACGCCTTTAAAATTTCAGACCTACATTTTCCCTTTTAAATAGTGTTAACCAATTCAGGTCTTCTAACTTAAGGATGAAAAGGAATCATTTAGAAAGTGGTACTGCCTTCCTGTACCTAGTAATAATTTCAGGATTGCTTCGTTATTTTTGCTCTAGTTTTTTGTCTCTGATTTGATTTTGTATGGCACTCTTTAGTGTTTAAGTTGCCTCTTACTCTGTTGCTTAAGTCTGAACTGGTGGGATGTGACACGTAGGGCATGCCATATTTGCTATCTGCAATTCAGGATGTTATATTCTACGCACTAATTCCAAATGCTGGAGCTGCATTTGTATTTGACTTCTAAAATAAGTTAAAGAGTTACTATGATCCAGAAAGTACTAACGGATAAAATGGTGATTGGCAGGCTGTAGCTTCTTCGTTCTGTTTCTCTAATCCTCCAAAAGTACACCTCAACATAGATAGCAATGCATCCAAGTTCAGGAACAAAAAGCGTAAAGTTGAGGGAAGCCGAAATGGGTTCAGTGATAGCAATCCTTACGGAAAGAAAGGAAGTGACGATACGAGGCAGTTTGTAAGATATTAGGAGATCATATGCAGCAGCAAAGGTTTCTGCACCAGATGCATGTTAACATGTATAATTTTTCTCTAATGTACTTTCTATGTGGAAGAGTTCATAGTTGAAGCATTTTGCTTTGTTATGGCTATGGCACTTCGAATTTTCTGGATTAGGTCCACATTTTTGTCCTGCCATTGCCAAAGAGAATCTTTTCTTGTTTATTTATTTTGTTATGAGACGAACGATTTACTTATGATAAAGATTGATTATGGCGAGGTGGGTTAAATTGTTTTGCTGTCGTTTGCTTAATCAGCTTATTACTGAAAAAATATGGTACAGGTTGTTTTGTTTTATAAAGTGTGGCTTCCGAACTTAGTAGCTTATTTTTGGGGTATTATCACTTTTAGCCTGCGTCAGAAATTATTTATATCTGATAGCCGAAAAAGTGTATAAATTTTGTATATAACATGATATATATATATTTTATAAAAAATTTTTACAGCGTCATTGTTCCCTTGTTTTTTTCTATTTCTAAATTTTGACCGAACTATTAGAGAAAAGTTGCAAATACTGAGAAAATAGGAGGAAGTCTTTCTTTTTAAAAAAAAATAATAACAAGTTTTACCTTAATGTTTTATGTCATTAACGATAAGTTTAGTAAGATTATTAAAAAGTTTCTACATAAATTTAGTTAAACAATTATCAAACATGTTCTTTTAAATTGGAAATTTCATGCTCAAGGTATTTTATTTTATCCTCTACCCAATCTTTCTATTACAATTAATCCTCCAGTGAATTTGAAGGAGCTTCATGAAATCAAATTCACAGCGTGCACTGAAGAGAAAGTGTCACATTCTTATTGAACTATAAAACAGTAAAAGATGAATTAATTTTATCATTTCAAAAGGAGAGTTGGTTTGTTTTAATGCTGTAAAATCTTTTTACCTTTCATTATTGTTACGTGGTGCTTAACATTGAAAAAGGAAAGGAAAATAAAATCATTCGAGTTTGATATATAGCTGATAACCCCATAAATTACTGATGTCTTCTCTTTAATGGTAAAGACAAGGTACGGATAAGAACTCAAAAAACACGTGGTTAATAAATTAAATACTTAAGACGGTAATTTTTTTATGTGGTCCTGCTCCTAAATGAATTTTTAAAAATTGTGTAAGTAGTCATCCACGAAACAGTGTGTGCATGTTGATTTTGTCAGTGTTATTTCTAGAAAAAATCTAGTAGGCTTCAATGCCCTTCCAAAAGAATAATAAAAACCAATAATAAATCTGCCCCATGTGAAATACAATACCGTAGTCTACCATTGTGTTGGAATACATCGATCTCACTCTTTGATTTCTCAGAAAGATCTGATTTCTCGGCAAGATATTCATACAGAAGAAGAGAAGAAAAGAATTGACGAAGAAGAAGAAGGAAAGAAAGGATCAAAGGTTTTGGACAAAATAATTTCGGACAAAATAAAGCTAAGTCCATTCTCTGATAAGCCATGTGACAAGTCACGTGACATCATCTTAACCAACAAATCAAATGATGAAGTTTTTAATCTGAATCGTTCACTTCTCACATGCACACATAGGCTCACGTGCTGAAGGAATATTAATTAGTTACATTGTTAGAATTTAGCTAGTAAAAATAGGATAAGTATACATAATTCATCTAGGTAACTAATATCTGTATAAATACATAGTCCTCTTGTACAGTAATTCATTCAGAAATACACAGAAATTTTCACAATCATCTTTCTCAATTTTCTACAATTGGAAACAAGATAAAAAAATACATATAAGTCGACCGACATAAAAGATAAAAACAATAAAATAATACCCTTTTAATATTAATTAATAAACAAAAACTTCCTTAGCCTCTAATTAAGACTTCTCCTTCATCCCAAAGCAAAATCTAAATAGACAAACTAATTGGAGTACTCATTTAAAAAATATTATAGCAAAATATAGTATTTTATTAAAAATCAACATTGACCAAACACTTGTTGTACACGTCCACGTACTGGCACACGTTACTTGAAACCATTACTGACCAAATCCTTTACGAAACCATTTAGTACAAAGGTCAAAATAGGAAATTCAACACCATAGGTACTGTATCCAACGAACCCAAACCCACTAGAGCCATTAACCGCCAACTCACGCCTCCCCGCGCAACAACAACAATAATAACAACCCAGTATAATCTAATTCAGTATAATTTTATTAGTGGGGTCTGAAGAGGATAGTGTGTACGCAGACTTTACCCTACCCTAAAATAGAACGGCTATTTCTAAATAGACCATCGACATCCTGTTTGGGGTGACTCGAATTCACGACCTTTCGCCCTGCAACAACTTCCCACGCAAGTAATTTGGAAAAGAAACAAAAGTCGGCTCCTAAAAACAGAGTGCTGTGGTTTCCCAAAATTGTAAAGAAAAGGAAACCAACTTCACCGCCCACTTAATACCCCAAGTAGTAAACTTGTGGCGGTGTTTACTGTTGGCTTCTTTCTTATTAATAAAATAAAATAAAATAAATTCCCCCTGTGGCTTCATTTCTTCATTCTTTTCTCCCAAGTTAGCGAACTAAGTAATCCTACTTCTTCTTGGATTTGGATTTGGATTTGGATTTGGCTCTACAATAACTATATAATTCTCCTGTTTTTGTTGCTACAATTTACCTGCGGCCATTAACAGTTTTTAGGTTCAAGTTTTCTCGGCTTCTGCTCCACAGGTTTTGAGTTCAAAGGATTCGAGAATGTGCTTTTAAGTCTGTCTTTTTCGTCTTGACCCTTTAATTTTCTAAGCAAGTATTGATTCTTTCTGATTTTTTTACATTGTGAATATTCTCTTCTCCTTACTTTACAATTCTGCATTGGTTCTTTCCTTAGCTCGCTTCAATTACATTCATTCAGAATTTGATTCCAATGCTTACTTATTGATTCAAATTCTCTACGAAACAGTTAGATTTACCAAATTGTCCTCCCTCGAATAGTTTTTCTTCTCTTGTTCGAATAATTTTACGATGGAGAACTTTGTGAAACCTCAGTTCTTCTCTCTTCTTCGTGGGGAAGCAACAGTTCAAGATTACCCTAATAATCACAAGATTTTGGCTCCTCCCAATATGTACCAGCCGAAATTTGAACATCAATCCGCTGAATCTACAAGCTCAAGCAGTGATGACGTGCAAGATCCAGAAGTTTCTGATTCAGAGAGTTCGGTTATTGGCTCAAAATATCAAGAAAAAAACACCGGTTTGATGAGAATTGATGAGGGCGATAAGGTATACGGAATTATCAGAGAAAAGTTTATGTCAGGATTGGGTGCTTTTGGAGCATCAACGCAAATTACGGCAATTCATAAGGAAACTTGCTCTAGTTTCACAAAACAAGCAAAGCTTCAATCCTTCCTTATTTTTTCCAAAGCTGTGGAGAAAAAATGCGGAGGGAATGATGCTTATGTGAAATATGCTTGGTTTGGAGCTTCAAAAGATGAGATTAACAACATATTTTCACATGGTTTTGTTCATTCTTCGAACAATGGAGCTTATTCTCACGCCATATGCCTTTCTCCAGACAATTATCCTCTTGATTGGTACTTGAAACTCATCTTCTATTGCACTTTCTTGTTTTGAGGTATTTGTTTCTTTTCCTTTTAGCTGATTTTTGATTTTTTTTTGGCAGTCTGCAAAATGCTGTTGCTGATAAAAATGGGGTAAGGCATTTACTGCTTTGTCGTGTGATACTGGGAAGAAGTGAAGTTGTGCATCCTGGAACAGGACAGTGGCATCCGAGTTCTGATGAATTTGACACTGGCGTTGATAATTTGCTTTCTCCTAGAAAGTATATTGTGTGGAGTACACAAATGAATAGCTATGTGTTTCCAGAATTTATGGTCAGTTTCAGAGTCACCTCTCATGTCAAAGGTGAACATACTTTACAGTAACTGTAGCATAAAGGAGAATTAGTGATATTTCAATAATTTAGAATATTTAGAGGATTGTGCTAGATTGTTAATTATGGTCTCATTTGTGCAGAGTCTCAAAGGAATGGAGTTCCTGCTAAAAATCCAAATTCACCTTGGATTTCATTTCCTGCACTGATTTCTGCTCTATCAAAATTCTTGCCGCCTCACACTATCAAATTGATTACGAAATATCATAGTGATCATAAGGTATGGGCTTGAAGCTCTTTAAATTTTCTTTTTAGTATATGTCTATATATTCTTTTGTCCAGTTGTTTATATCTAGTTCTGTTTTTCAGGAGAGGAAGATGACGAGGCGAGACTTGATTCAGCATGTGAGGAAACTAGCTGGAGATGACTTGTTAACTTCAATCATCAAGTCCTGCAAGTACAAGGTATAACCTATATCAGAGCAAATGTTTGTTTAACAAAGTGTGGCATGAGTAAATATTACTGATTGTGTTTGACAATGTAAGCACCTAATTCACTTGTCCAACCCTGTATTACCTGATTTTATCTATTCCTTGTTTGAGTGAAGTATTCTGTTGACTGGAAAGAAGTTGCAAATTCTGCTTTCAGGATAATATTAGTCCCTTTTACTAAATGATCTCACTTTAGGGATAAGGTTGTTCATGATCTACTTGATGTTCCTGATATTCTGCTTCTCTTTGTTGTTCCTCTAGTAGAGTCTTGCTTTCCATTTCACTTACTTCAATACGAACTCATGAACTTTTGGCTCCAGAAATGATCTATCAAGTTAGTCAAGTGGTTTTCAATGAAGTAACTTGTTTTGGATTACTCATGTGGGAAGTTAGGTCATCCTGACTGCTATGAAGTTTGTCCTTTGCTTGAATAAATGGCTTCTAGTTGTGAAGTGGGGAGGTACCAAGTAGTAGTCCCAACATAGAGGATATTGTGGTAGTTTAGTATAGCCATGTAAACTCTGCAACTCTCGTGATTGCGCAGAAAAAGACCTAAGGCTTCCTAGACAGACTAAGGAGTGGAAGGGAGCTTATTCAAGCCTTAATGATGTTCTTATATATAGGGGACTCCAGTTTTAGTTACTTCATCCCTTAATTTTTCTTTAAACGAACATTTGACATATTTTTGCTTGTTCCATGATCTAGTGTTTGAAAAAGAATTTGCTGCCAGTTCTACATAGCCTAGCAACGTATAGCATAAGGTTTAAATAACCTGGAGTCCACATAGCTTATTCCCCTTCAAAAACATCCTGAAACTGATATTATAAGTTATGCCTAACAGTCAAAACTAGGATGCCCTTGTTAGGTTTCGCACAAATCATTATGATGATTAACTAACCTGTTTGTCCTTAACTTCTCGCAGCATAATAAAGGATCAACCGGGATCTCATCCAACGTCAGCTCAATTCACTCTGGACAACGAGATGGAAAAAACTGTGCTTGCAAAAAGAGTTGTTGAGTAATTTTCTTGAAGAATGTATGGACGGAAGCAGAAAGAATGAAACGTTATAAGATCAACATCCACTAACCAAAGCTTAATGTGACACAAGGATTAGCTGCTGCTGATTCCTGGGATGAAAATGATATCTAACAAATTAGTCTGAGTAGCCCAATTCCCCTCTAACCTGGGTTCCTGCATCTCTTCACACGCTGTTTTTTGCTTTGTAGCCTCAAAGTTATCTTAAAGTAACAGTGTCTCCCAAATGTACTATATAGTTGTAATAGTTACCTGATCAATTCTTGTTGATGAAAATTGCTATATCCAATTATTCAGGCTGCATCATTTTCTATTATCTTTTGATACAGTCCAATATCTGCAAAGAGTGGCTATGGGCATTGGCCACCAAGACAAGTACAATCTATCTCAGAACTATCACAATTAGTAAAAGCCAAAATTCCTCAGTTGTTAGTATATTGAACTTGGATTGAGGAACTGAATTCCAGTTAATGCTCCAAATTGGCCAAAATAGCAAACAGTGGTCGACTGGGGAACTTTGTATAGTGTGGAGTCGAATCTTCCAAGCATCTTAAAGTGAAATTCAACGACGATGCACCTAATATTCATCTTGGGTTCGAGAATTAATTTGGACAGATTATCGTATTCTTCCTTACTCCTAATTTTAACGTCCCCTCCCGTTTCGACATAATAAAAAAGTTATAAAGAAAGACCATATGTTGTAGAAAAGTCACCTGTTCATTATAAGAGGTACTGAAAAGGAAAGGAAAATCATATTACTCAAAAGAAAAGCATTGTCCATGTCTTGAAAACCTATGGCGATGCATCTAATGGATTGAGCAAAAGAGAAAAAAAGGAACAAGCTAATTGTTTAACCAAAAATTTGAGTCTTTGGCCAAAGCTAAAAAGAAATTCGGGTTACTGATAATCAGGAGACAAAAATAAAATACTTTTGAGAACGATGGTAAAGAAGCAAATAGATGTGTATTTCAATAAATTCTCAATAGTATTCCGTGTCCTTACAAATGATGATACTTCTTCCTTTTATAGATAATTCTAGGTAAAGGAATGAAGCCTCAGCTTTAATGATATAATCATGAGTAATAAATGATATTAAATAAGCCGTTATACAATCATTCCTATTAAATACCAATTTCGTAACGTATCAAGTATTTAATAATGAATTTGGACTCCTTTCTGTCACCAGAT